ACCCCAGATGGCACCGCGTTAGCCAGTAATTTTGCCTGCAATCACACCCCCGGTGTTGGCCTTCGTTATTGGCTCGCATTCTTGGTAACGCCCGCCGGACTCCGGTCTAACCGCAGTGTTGGATCAGCACATCCACCTCATGGTCCGTTTTAAGCGCACAACACCTATCATCCATATAAAATGCACAGCACACAACCTGTCGTCAATAGCCTGACGGGTGAAACGTTGTACGCACAAATTCGAGCATTTCTTTCACGTGAAAACCGTGTCATCTGGCGAAATCCGACTTTGTGGAGTGGAAGATCAGCATGCCATCAAACGCAATGCCACTTAATTGTTTCTGCCTTCAGCATCCTCAAACACACCTACCAGTGCTAACGGGTGACTCCCACAACAGGCTGTGCTGGCGATGCACCGGAACGAAATGGGAGGTCAGATTAGCTCATTACCCTCGTTAACTAGCCTGCACTGAGTTCACGCGAGACAATATCTGCCACCGTGAGGGCGCGCGGCATGCCATAGACGTGGGTCCCCACGTCGCGTCAGCCAGCGCACCCAATCCCAGCACCAGTTGGTTGACAGGATCGACCGGTTGACTGACGTGCGGGAAACGTAAGAACTAAATAACATTACGCACAAAGGCAAGTGCGACTGGAGCGGCCATGTTTGGTTTATTAGCCGCCGTCAGCCAGTCACAGCCAGCTTATAAGCCAGAAATGGTCATTCCAGTCTCACTTGTCTTTGTTGATAATGCTATTCTGCCTATATTACGCTCCCCCCTCCCCTGTGCGACTGTTGGCGAGGCTCTAGAGAGGGCCTCAAGCTACAACAGAAAGAGTGATTTCCGTAACGCGATCGGTAGGTGCCCCCCTGCCATTGTATATTCCTGATTTCAACCGACTGAATGGCAAACCCTCATAAAATATATTTTGCAGAAAACATACATAAAATATCGTATCTTGTACCCATTTGGTAGCTAACCATGTCTTCAAAATGTATACTCGTAGAAAGAGTACCTTTCTTTTCTAATAGCATTCTTCTATTCCAGAGTAGGGATAGGGTGTAGGACCCCCAAGTAGACGGCAACTCCAAAAATGTACCCTGAAATTCAATATGACTTTAAACATCACTTATTTTTCGCCGTGTTTGAAATTTCCCTGACTTCCTTATTAAATCCAAACTCACCGACGGCACTTTATTCGAAGTCCAGTATTTTTTTGAAAATAACTTTTTTTAATTTTTAATTATCGCGCTCACTTTCTTTACCAAATGACAGTGTACGATAAGACTTTAGACAGAAATTTATTTATTTTGCGTCTTTTTGCTCTCCGTCCTAGGTGTTTCCCCACCCGTAGAACTCCCTCTATCACAATCCAACGAATTACGAGGTTTACAGACTAGCCTAAGTTAGTCGGAGATCCTATGCCCTATCGTTATCCAGAGTAATTTTGGACTCGATCTGCCGTTGCATTTGTGTTTAGGGTTCTTAGTCTACTAGCTGTATGCTTTCCGTATAGGGGAAACATGAATTCCTTTATGCCGTGTATTATAAGCCATATAGGGTCCGTAAAATTTTGCAACCGACGTGTGCTATGCTGCATGTTTCATGTGAAGCATTATTAAATAGATAAGCATGACGCTACTTGAATGAATATTGAGCAGCGTTAAAAACCTCGCACTTAGGATGATCCCGATTCTCCGAATATAAAAGTTGGAGATATGGTTTGATACCAAACGGATACAAGATAGAATATTGTTATGGATCATTTCCGTAAAATATATTAATGCATTTAAAATCATGAAAATTCCATATTAAAAGTACATGCCACACAAGTAATCATTTTTTACTGAGTACTTTTTTACAGATGATCAGAAAGAGGTACGCTCCAAAGCCAACATACTGGCGTGTCAGAAATATTACGGGATTATACCACAAGATTTCTACTATTACAACCCCTCTTAAGGTCACAGAATCGAGCCTCTGGGGTTGGGTATGGCTGGCTTATGACAGCTAATAAGCCAGAATTAGTCATCTCAGTCTCCCCTGACGGGGTCAGTAATGCCATTCTGTACGCATATGTCTATATTGTCCATATTACGCGCCCTTGGGCGACTTCTGGCAAGACTCAAGAGTTCCCCGAGGCAAAACGGAATGAGTGAGTTTCTTAACGTGTTCCATGCGCGCCTCTCTACCATCGTTATACTTATGAGAAGAAAAGGCAATCTCGGGAACCATTGTTACATTGCCCTATGTGTATGCGCGGAGCTTATGTTGAAAAACACATGGAGTCGTAAAGGTAGGTGTGTTGGCTATAATGAAAATTGTTTATGTTAAATACGGGCCGCTTGCACATATTTTAACTTGTTTGTTATAGGAAAACGATCAACAATCATAGGAAAGTGTGCGGATGCTTTTTAGAAGTACAGCACTAATTTGTTATGTAAAGATGCGACTGGGAATTCACTTTCCTTTGAAGTATCGCAAACGGCGGTATTTAAAAGAGACGCTGCACTTATAGTCACGCTTCTAACAAGGATAAAGGCAAAAATTATATTTAATTCAACATCAACAAATAAGTGGCATTTTGAGATAAGCGGCAAACGTGGCGTCCAAACCCAGATAGCCTGGTAGGCAAAAGACCGTTCTATCACTTACGCCACAAAATCCTCCAAGCTAGAGTAGGGAGCAGAATTGGAAAATATCCATATTTATGAATATTAATGGAAAAGGCGTTCAGAAATCCAGGGTTTTAAGCAATCCTTTGATCAAACGCTGAAAAGGAAGTTTGACTAGATGCATAAGCAAGGGATATGGGTTCAGTCTTCATGATAAAATGAACTAAGGTAGATTCTCTCCGTCTGAATATTACAGTCCTAGACAGCCAAATTTTAAAAACGATCACTGTCAACTCCACCACTTTGTCCAGATCCACCGGGTTGGTCAAGCCTTTGGGGGGCTGAGACCGCAAATATAGCTTGGGCAACTTTTGGATGCCGTTAAAGCACTATAATAAAGCAGGTTTCCTCGAGAGGCTCATACACGTAGACAGCGGGTAGACCTATTGATGGTAAAGACTATTGTGACGGTGTCTGGAACTAACCGAACGTAGAACATTAAGAAAAACGACAAGTGAGCCAAAGGCCAGCCCTAACAACACCGAAAACATTCCAAAGTAACTCTAGAACCTAAAATATTTGAGGCTTGGGCACATCTTATGGGAAAGTCGGTACTCAAATCAATAAAAGCACAAATAAAGGCAGTCTTATAGAACGCTGTTAAAGAATATTAACAGGCAGTGACGATGCATGTGTGTGCTATGCGGATAGCTATGACGGCCTACTCCAACATATAAATTTAAGCGTTTTATGTTTTAAACACATATTTTGGGATTTCATTCATTTGGTAAAAAATTTGCGAGCTCAGCATCACGCGGATGCCGCGCTAGCCAACCAGGACGGGCAGAGTCCTTTCAGCCTGTTTCCATTACTGCCGTTGTTTTTGGACTTAACATGGCCAGATCGGACTATTCAGCATTCTTGTTGATTAAAACAACTAGATCATCACATAAATCAACCAAAACGCAATGCCAGTCTGGTGGAATTAGGGTCGGAAACTGCCGGCGATGATCGGTCTGGCTGTCAAATCCACTCAGTTTAGTTTTATTTTCCATGACTTTAATCTTTGTTTTAATGAATCCTGCAGTAGTAAACATATTGACTGTGGTTAATCTTTAATTCATCCCGGACACAAAAACTTGTCGGAATGAACATGGGGAACTTATTTAAGTTAATCGTTGTAGGCTCGGGATCTTGACAGTCGACTTTCTTAGTTAACGGTCATATATGTTGTGTTTGAACTACTACTTTGTTCAAGTGACTTTCAGAACAAAGTGGACAAAGTTTTTGGACTCGGCTCGCTTACCTTGTCGTATATTCTTAGGAAATGATATGTTAGGAGGACCAAATTTCTAAATTATAAACTTGGGATTGTTTTATCAAAAGATACTCCGGTTTGTTTGTTATAACTACTGGAACAAATGTTCGAAGTATGCTTACACTTTAACTGACGAGTTATTTTTAGTTAATCATCTTACTCTATAACCGGTTAACAGTTATACGATTTGGAAGCTCGTCCAAACAATTTGAATCTCGTTTTAGACTAGCAGACGCGAATGGGGCCGAGCCAACTAAAATCAGTAATCGCATTCTCTAACATTCATCCAACGTTGAGTTTCAACAAATCCTCATAATGACTGGTATTTACAAGGCAAATTTTACTTTGTTCGGAACTGCTAGGCCGAACAATATCAATCTTTTTGAAACTGGTCTTTTGTGAAGAATACATGGCCAGTCAAAAAACCCACCCCATATTGTCCCATATTTTCATATTAACACGACTACGTACAAAATAAAAGTAAGCAGGTTTGGTTTAATAATGTTTGTGTGCATTAGTCGTGGCTTCTTAAATATTTGCTAGTTCGCGAGGCTATTAGAAGTTTTTAGGGTGCTTTCCATCAAAATACTATATTTCTCTTTGGACGTCTGGCAACACATTTGTCTGAAATGTAGGATTTGCTAATTTTCAATTTTGCTTATCTCAGCCACAATTTTAAGTCGTAACAGATGAAAATCGAAGTGGCAACGAAAGAACAAAGAATGTAGATGACAGTTTTAATTCTGATGCGGCCGAAATCTTCCTCTGAGTGCAAGCTTAAAGGGCAGTATTATTTTTAATGTCTAAAAGTAACACCCAACTTGAGAAAGTTTTAAAGTCCTGCAAGAAAGAAGTTTCACTAGAAAGCGGATTCGACGTTGGATAGATCGCTTAATTGCAGTCGACATCCTCCCTCCTATCTAAGCAATGTTCCGCTTTATTTCGGCTCTTGTTACTAGCATTAGTGTTCGTTTAAACGCTCTCCAGAAGATTGATTGGCATTTGGTGAGAACTGATATATTCATGAAAACGCGATGGCAAAAGTAAATAAGTTACCAAAACTCTATCAGGTTTCAGACTGCGTATTCGGATCAATTATCTGTCTTTGAGACAGTTTCTCTTTAAGCATAGTATTTTCCACCTCCAGTGCTTCAACGCGTTGACGCAAGTCCTCTAATTCTACTCGCATGCTTTCAACGTCAAGACTTGCTGGCGCATTACTGCCCAAGTGCTCCTTAACGAACCTAAAATTAAACAAAGATTCTGAAATATAAGTGAACTACGAGACAAAATTGTGCAGAGTAACAGGTCTAAAATTCGCGATAATCAGCAGTCTGTGTATGGTTGGAGGGGAAAGAAAGCCTTTTAAACTAACGCAATCCGACAAACAGTTTAACAATCATGAAAGGGACAACCGCAACTGGTCAAGTAGGGCGAGAACGAAAAAATAGTAGCAGATTTGGTGGCGATTTCTTGATTTTTGTTTCTAGCAACCAACCCATGAAAACATTTAATCTGAAATCTCAATGAGTTATGCGACAAGATTGTGGAAAGTAACAAATCTAAAATGCGCGATAACCAACCGTCTGGGTATGAAGAAAGCTTTTTAAACTAACGCGTAAAAAAACTGCGTAAAAATCGTGAAAGGGACAGCCGCAACTTCTCAAATATGCAACATTTCCCGCAACAAACGAGCGGTGAAGGTAAAAACAGTAGTAGATTTGGAGGCGATTTCTTAATTTTTGCTTCTAGCAACTAACCCACGTCAGTATAAGTGTTTGCCGGTTCCCTGGCAAATTCAGAATGCACTGGCCGAGAATAACGAAAACGAAAAGTGGGCTAAATTGTATATGTGGGGCATACAGGATAGTCTGATGCGTTGCTTAAACAACAAAACGAGGACATTCCGCCCAAGATAAGATATTCTACATTGCAATATAAAAAGCCTGGAACAAAAGCAAAAACCGCCTATTATAATTCACAGTAGCAGCGGAACATTAGCATTTTACTAATCCAATATTTACTGAGTTACGGCAGCTTATTTGAGTTGCTTAAAACCTATGTATTCCATCTGAGGTTGCGAATTCCAAATGCAAGAAAACTAGGCCATGTTAATAAGCAACTGTAGAAGTGTAGCATCTTCTCATCTAAGTTTTAGAACCGGCTTGGCCAAAAACGAATACCCATTCTCAAGTTTCATTCTTCACGACCTGGGTTCTAGAGGAACTCTCCTTACAATGAAAAAGTGCTACTCTGATACAAGTTGCGGTTAGGGGAAAACAAATTTTCTGCCAATATTAAAACGTTAAAAACGGATTTTACGTTTGGGTGCTTATAAAAACAACGCAATGACAAGAGCGTGTGGATAAAAAAGTTTCCCAACAAAGAAAAAATATCTGCTACTGGCATAAAAACGGAGAGGTGCGTTGTCTCATAAATATTCTACATTTGACGTGTAACACTGTTTTATAAATCGTAATCTAACTGTATTAACACCGCTGCATCTATAGTGCATATGTTTATGCCCGCACTGTGTCACATTTTCGTGTTTGAAGGAAGCTAGGCATTCAAAAATAAAGTGATAATTTTGTTGAATATGTAGGAAATATATTCGATTGCTTATTATAGTGAGCCGAGATCAAGGCCACGCCTAGTCCAACTATGCCATAAGCATAGGGTATCTCGACCATGAGGAGTCATTTTTATGCATTCCGATCTTAAAACTGCGGCAGACTACAAAATAGCCTGCGTAAGATCAAAAGCCTAACAAAGCACCTTGGTTCGGCTTCCTGCACTACATTCACTCCAACCACATGTGTGCTGTAATCTTTTCCGTTATTCTGTTTCACTTTGACAGTCATTCGAATCGCCACAGCATTCAATTTCCCAGCCCGACGACGAGCTAACTCAACACGTTTTAAAATTAAAAAGCTCACAGATCATCCGGACCTTTCCTGTAACTTTTTTCAAATTTTAAGTATCTTGCAAGATTTCCGCTTGCCAGATAAACTCTGCGCTAGAATGGAAACCGCAATTTCCTTCGTACACTTAAGGATAATGTCATTCAACTTATTCTTAACTCGAATTTTGTTGTCCGTGCTATTTTACAAAAGTGATTTAAACTCACCAAGTAATCGTGACTGCCAGGAGATCAGAGGTAAAAGTTTACAATAATTTAAATTTGAACTACTATGCCTGTAGTGATTTGCGGGTGCTACAGTTTTTCTTGCGAGAAGTGGCATGGCGAAAGTTATTCGGTGACCTTGATTTTATTAAACAGATACGGTAGAAGAAGAAGAAGAAGAAGAAGAAGAAGAAGAAGAAGAAGGAGCTGATGATGATGATGATGATGATGATGATGATGATGATGATGAAGGGCTCTTCTTCAAATAAGCAACCCGGATCTCTTAACTTTGCTAGTCTGAACAGATAAGGTAGACAAAATTTGACTTTTAAAGTGACATCAACCGATTCCGGTTGCTATTTACTTCTACTTAGGCTGGCATGCAGAAATACTGAAGATCGAAGCTAAGATAGTACGAAGACATGAAATATGTCGCTTCATAACTGCTGTGTTCGTGTTTTACGATAAAGACTATTATTAACCACGAACTCCGTCAGCACATCGTTCAGTTCTCGGTATACGTCAAGTGGAGGTGGGGGTGGGCATGGTACATTCCCAATGATCGTTAATATATTAGTCAACCTTCTCATCGGTGATATTCTAAGTCCGTGTTGTGCATATAGGGTGGGTAGTTCCCTTGCCTAGATCATTTTTGAGAAGCATTGGTACTATCGAACTACTCACTGTTGTCAGTTTTCATGTGATGGCGTAGATTGCTGAGATCCCTGTCAGTATGGGTAGGACTTCTTTAGACCGTTCTATCCCCTAGAAACAGGTAACGGGTAATTTTTCTCTTGCTCAGGTGCTTCGAATACCTCCAGATCTACAGGATAATCTGCGCAAGAAACTTTATCACATTATTTATACTTCAAAACCTGGCAGTATTAATAACCAGCCTTGGTAAAAATGAAGGACGAAAGACATCTTGGAGGGAATCATGATTCAGTTCGTCTCACTTTCATCCTTAAGGATATTCCTAAGACGACGGCGAAACAAGAGAACGTTCTATGTTACTTTGAATATTCCGGTTACAGATTAGTAACATCCCGATCTATTCTCGTGTACCATTTTCAAGGTCCACACAAGCAGTAGAAGGCAAACTATCAGTCCCTATCCCGTAACTAAGACGATGCTCGAAGAATACCCTGTTCTAATTTGAAGGCGGTATATGTGTACATACATGTACGCATATGTACACGTTCGTCATGTGTGGTAATGTTCGGATTCTGTCCCAAATGTAGGCTGTGATAACTAAGAAGGCCTTACGGTGTCCATCATACATGCGGATGAAGCTAGTAAGATGACAAAAGGGGTCGTGACGATCGTCACGATGAGGACTTACTTAGGCCACTTGGCTTATGGCCTAAGTTATATGCCAGCTGTGGATGGAAAGGCGACTACAGCAAGGCACATGGACTTCTCCCTCAGCATATCTATATTTTAGAGTAAGAAACTAGAGTTAAATAACTTCTTCATAAGTTACGTCCGAATATTCGATTTTTTAAAACAGAAGCCTAAGACATTAATCGTGTTCGCGATTAATTAATTTGTTCAAACATTCGAGTATCATTTTTGGGTTCTATCTTGTAATTTTTCCTCTTCTCTCCTATTCAAGTTATAAAAAGGTAAAAAAATACAAATGTTTATTTACCCGGTCGGGTTGCTGGGTTTTTCCGGCTCCTCGTAGAGACTAACAAGAACTTCGAAAATCGGCTTTTAACATAAATGAGTACCTTTAGTTAAATTGTCAATAAGGCCGGATTTTTCTAAATATGTCCTGAATTCGTCTCGCTTTGAGTCCTGAGACCAATCACGTAATCAAGCTTAATACCTTGAGTGCTGACATTTTTAAACGAGGTCCTTTTTTGGCGTTATAGTAACAGTGTAGCAAAAGGCCGAGGTTATCGGAGGTTTAGGTTTTATCAAAACAGCTTAAGACGAGATATGATGGTCTTTATTCAACTTTTCGAGCATTTCGACATATATTTTGTAGAAAAGCCGCAAACGTTTAGTTTCGATCAATATCCTATAGACAAGATACTGAGGCACATTGATTTTGTGAAAAGGCAATAACACAACGGAATTGCACACAACACACAGCAGCAACTAAAAATGTCATGAAAAAGCTGATGGTTTGCAAGAGCTTGGGAGTCTGCGCGTCGAAGGTAACAGCAACGGATAAGGCGACTGCAGTTTCCTCTTTTTATTTGCATTAGGATGAAAAAAACATGAATGACAACACATTCACATCTAGATTACTCAATCTCAGTGGATGAACAAAGACGTTGTCCTTCTGCCTAATATGCTCAGTTGGTTGTTAGCTGAACGCAGTTAAGCCATATGAACAGCCCTCGAGCCTGCTCCACGGACTTTTATGATACCGGGCAATCTTGGCAGGTCCCGCTTTCCTCTTTAATCGACGTTTGCAAAATCTGAAGAATATTGCTGGTGATGACGGATGGGACTGAGCTGATAGAAAGACATTTAGTCGCTTTGTCGTCTTCTTTACTCCACATGTGGTGCTGCCTTACTTGCTACAGAGCAGGGTGACAAATATTCCTAGTACTCATCCATCGCTGTACACTGAGTAAGCATGATCCCCTAACCACTGTCTGGCGTTCCTGTGCTACGCGTGTTGCGTTGGGTATCCACCACGTCCAACCCTTCTTCATTGAGCCCGCAGACCCGGGCAGAACTGTGGTTTTTGACAGCGAAATAGAACAAATAGTTAACACTCACAAATCCGTCTTATTCATTGTAAAGTGTTTCTTTCACTTTACAGAATCTGACAAGCTTGGAACTACCAGGTGGCGCCAAATGTGGTGTCTTGTGGATCTCTGAACCGACGGCCAACTTTTTTGACGATTGCAATTTAACGAAGTGGTTCTTTCGCGAGGTTGTTCTTCGGGACTTCTGCCTTCAGCGAAGTCTGCGAAGATGTGCGAGACATGTGATTGCGTAGATTTGCGTCCTGTTGGTCACTGCATCTAAGTTCATTAAATCTGAATCTACATAAAGAGGCCACTGTCGAGGTATTGACAGATGGGACATTAAGGTTGATTCATTCAGGAGTCAGTGTCTAATTTAACTAAGAAAAGCTATTAGTCATGGTTTTATATCAGTCAGTTTTAGCCAGTTTATTAAGGGAATCAGACTTTCGCCCTATTCATATATACAAACAGGAATGGAATCAATTGTGGCATCAGCAAATGCGAAATTGAAAAGTTTACGGTGAAAGTAAACCCTGCGCAAACTGCCGCCGCTAAGACAGTCATGATGATATGTACAGTAGTTTCTCAACAAATGAGCATCTATTCTACACTTAAAGTATTCAACGGTTTCGGAAAGGACGACCGCATCAGCGAGTCCGTTACACGTCCCAATAACCCTGTGAGAGAAGACGTCTCGTCGGACGTTCGTATAGGCCAGTTTCCTCTGCAATTCAAAAGGATGACCACGCAGACGCTTAGTCCCGGCCAATTAGAAGAATTCATCAAAGACTAGAGCACACTCACGGCTTCTGACAATCCTGTAGGTTTGAATGAGATCGCCGCCCAGTTGCCTGTAATTGAGAGGAAACAGAATTAGTTCAGTCAGCCTGGTTTCCTAAGGCAGGTGATCAAAAATCTTGACCATCTTCGTGGCCATCGCCTGTACTCTTTCCAGTTGTTGATAATCTTTCTTCAACCACGGTCGCCAGGCCTGAATTGCATAGCCTACGTGAAACCGCACGAATGCTCCATAGGTTTTTCTAAACAGCTCATTATCGATCTGCACAAATCCTCGCCTCAGCGTAAATAACATTCTTATCGCGCTTTTGGTTACCCTTTGATACTGTGATGATTTTTTCGGGGAGGAAGTCATTAGGACGCCAAAGTCTTCCTACCAAGGACTATTGAAATGAACTGTCTTCCTTAATGGTCTTTCTGGTGCGGAGTCTCAGGGCCACACATTTGTCCACATTAAAATTAAGGAGCCAACGAGCTGACTAACTACTCAGTCGGTTGAGACTGTTTTGAAGCGCGTACCTGTCTACGTCAGATCTGATGGCTCTCCGCAGCTTAACATCATCAGCGAACATAACAGTGTTGCATCCCAGGTCGTCGACGCAGTCGTCTATGTAAACTAGGAATAGCAACGGCCCTGAGACTGAGCCCTGGGGACACCACATAGAACGGGCGTAGGAGTTGACCTCGAGACCTCCACGTACAAGGTTTGGGATCTCCCTGTAAGAAAATCTGTTATCCATACCAGCAGCCTTCCTCTTATCCAAATTTCAGAGAGTTTGTAGATAAGCGTTTGTGAGGGACGCTGTTGAACGCCTTCTTGAAGTCTGTGTAGATGACCTCGACCCTACCATCCTCGTCCAGTGCGCGAGTCTACTGCGCAGCCGAGAGCAATAGACTGGAAATGCCCGGACGGTTCTATCTCAAGATGTACTGCAGATCTGAGAATAAGTAGCTCTGTTCCAGGAACTTCATTGTTGCTTTGTTAACTATGGTTTCCACTATTTTTAGCAGATGCAGGTGAGACTAACAGGCCGATAATTGTTAGCATTTGGGCGAAACCCACCATTGTATATCGGAAAGATATTTGCTGTCTTCCACTCCAATGGCAGCCTCCCTAAATCGTCTGAGGAGTGAAAGATGTGTGCCAGCGGTTTGAAGAGTTCGTTTGCCAATCCCTTCAAAAATTTAGCCAGTATATTGTCTGGACTCGAGGACTTTGCTTCTTTGAGATTGTGCAACTCCCTTTCCACGACAGATGTCGGGAAGAGTATGGAGTGAAGCTGAGGACCGGCGGTCTCAACAGCATTGCAAAATACCATCCCAAGTGTTCGCCTTTCCCGCTGCCCTCAATGCTTTCTCCATCATTATCATCCTTCAGTACAGTTACCGGGTCCTGGTTTTCAGTCTACTGTTAAGATTGTGAAGTAAAGTCTTGGGCTTCTGTTCAGCTTGTCGGATAATTCTGGATTCATGCTCCTTCCGTGCCTGACGGATGCATTTTTGATTGCATTTCGTTGACGACGAAAGTCTTCGCGATGCAGTGGTGACCCATTTTCCCTGAATATTTTCCATCTTTTTCTTTGCTTCCGTAACTGCCGACTCAGGTCCTTAATTAACCAGGCAGGTCATCTAGTTGTTTTTTTAGCTTAGATGGACAACCGCGCCGAACTAGACCAAGTGAAGTCGACTTCCACGATCTCCAGTCGTCCTCCGGATCTCTCTTTAGCAAACGTTCCCAATTCACAGACATCGATTCTTTCTTCATCTCGTTAACATCGCCTTCCATATATGAGTTTGGTCTTCTGTTCTCTTCGTTCGTTAAGACAAGAGCGAGTAGTCCCATATTAGCGTAGTATGGTCACTCTTTCCAGACGGCAAATTGGCGAGGCCCTATTGGATTCTAATGACCACATCTCAATTTGACCTTCCCAACGTGACTTTCACTGCATTTTCCGTCGGGTTAGCTTGATTGGGACACACGTAGACGTCTGAACTATCATTATTAGCCGTTCTGGTTACTTCCGTCTCCGACTGTTAACTATATCTTACTATCAGTTTAGGAAGGTTACGGCAGAGCGAGATAGCATTAATTCTGCATACGTTCGTATCAATCTAAGCAGATTTACATGCAAATAACCACTAGACATCTAGCCGTCTTCGCCGTTTCTGTCCAAAATTGCATCTGCAATGTATCTGTGGTCAACTCTGTGAATTGTCTTGTATGTTTTGACGAGATCAGCGTGATCCGTCTATAGGAAGAAGTCGAAAGATTGAAAATTTGTCATCCTTTCCTAACTTGCAGGGGACGCAGCAGTGCGTTTATCAGTATTGTGTGGTACTGAACCAGGGATTTTGTTCTTGGGGTGGTGTAGCTGGCGAAAACGTTAGGGTAGTACACGCGGGGCAACGTATAGAACAAGATATAATTCCTGGCTAATCTGATCTGAAGAAAGTAGTGAAACGGGTCACCGATGTCTTCCAAGCTGATAGTAGAAAGTGTCAAGTGGTGCGAAATACGTATGCTGAGAATATCGGGAAAGATGCATGGGAAAATGTTAAATACTACAAGGGGGATGAGAAATACATCAGAATTACTGAACAGTGTGGATGAAGAGGCGATACCAACATAGTAGCTAGACAACCGGCGGTAAATGCAGCGCTATCGGCAACTGCGGGATGGGACCGTGAGAAGTGCCGACGTACGGAGAGAGAGATATATATGGCACGGTAGTTGCGGTAACAGTGGCAAAGGGGTCGGTGGAGATGCGAGGAGGGAACACCGGTTATTTCCGCGGACACGCGGTCATACCATCTTCATCCTGGATCTGCGCCCCAACAGTGTCACATCGTTCAAGGAACTCTGTTCAGTTCAATGGATGTTACAGTGGGAATACCAGACCAGGTCAATGAAAAACGCTTAAAGTGGGGCCGGAAAATTTGCAGGATAAGCGTGTAATTCAGTTCCGACGAGGTTTTTGATGTAATTTCGCGGGTGCTATTTACGAACCTTGAGTCACTTTTCTGAACGCGGCGGATTTCGGGGTTCTATTTTCCAGGATAGCAGCAGAACCATCTCACCTTACTCAGCCTTATATATGTAACTCACTGGCTTCTTCCGCGTTTCAAATACAGTTTATTAGAGGACTTTCTTGTGTGCACACAGTGACATTTCACTTAGTGTTATCCCGAGCAGGCGTACGGCTATTTCTCCATCATCCACACAAAGAAGACCGTTAATTCTAATTATTTCCGATAACGTTTACGTCGACATTTGTGAGGCACGGCTTTTAACTGAAACAAATTTAACTTCTGCAGCGCTGCCAATACCAGCTTTACCCGGATAGAATAAACTTTAAAATGATGTCGAGGATTCCACATCCCCAAATTTTTTACCACATGTTATCAGTAACATTTTGAATTCAAAAAATCCTACTTTCAGGGCGTTCCCTTTTGTGTAGCTTTTTCTGTATGTTCTCGCAAATTAATGATGTAATCGCTGTTTAAACTGTACTTAGCAACACAAGTAGGTTTCCCTTCTCTAGATATTCCAGTAGGTGTTTTGTAAAAAACGTTAGTGTGACCCCGGATAAAGTCCAAGCTAAACCCATCTGGTTCTAGTTCAGACCATCTTTTAAGATATGTTAAACGAGGACATTTTCCATTTGGCTTCCGATTCGCTTCCCTCCGCGGACCCTCTTAATGTCGTTAATGCTGGTTCCTTCAGTACTTTGGCTTGTACTTGTGGATCAGATTGATGTATATAATCTGGACAAGGGGCTATGGCATACTTTAGTCAAATTACTTCTGTTTTTATCAATGTAAGCGAGAATCAGGCCCTTCGTTTTGGTGCGACGGAAACCGATTTCTGCTGCTGTTGTAGTTTTAGTTTAATGAGTATACAAGCGCTAGTTTTATGGGTGAAAATCAGACTAAATAAACTGGGATAAGCCAGTGACTTCGTATGGTCGTGTATTTCACAGCACCGTCTAGAAACTTCAACGATATCGTCGGATATGCCCTATGCGGTCGAATGAAAACTTCGAGTTTGACAAGGACATCTCTTCTGCATTTACTTTCTGGTTGCCTCGATTTTTGTCGATATAACATTTACGGTTGTCCCGATGTCGTTTGTATTTCTGTGAACAATTGTCTGGATTTCCAGGAAGTCAGGCATCTTTCTTTGTTGATCTTACGTTTCCTAAGCCTTGTTTATATTTCCTCCTTGTTCATTTGATTGATAGACAAGCAGTTTAGTCCAGAAAATGAGCTAAAGGGCTTATTTCATAGTCCGGACAATCCAGAAAACACGACGCCGATATGAGTTTCTGTTTTTGGGAAATCGTCAACGGTCTGAGACTCACGTTTTCTATCGTAGCCATTCAAAATAACCCCTGACAATTTCCGAATTCCCATCTTCTCTCCAAACTCCGTGGTGACATCTATTAGAGTATGAAAAACGTCAAAATGCTATCTTACTCCTCCTTTCGGGGTCCCATTTGGAGTCTTAGGAGAAAAAATGTGACTCATGCTGCTTTCCTCAATCAGACTGGAACCTCTTTCCGTTGAGCTACAGACAAATGCGTGGGGACCATTTAGCAGCCTTTTGCATTGTAAAGGAATTGGATTTCAGCCTAGCCTTTGAAGACTTTTTGAACTGACTACCACGACTAACCACCGATCCCACCTATTAAGACTGGATGTTGAACAGAGAAGGCTGGATGTGCTCAAGTACGCCCTCTATGTCAGAGTCTTTCAATGAAAGGAGGTCCTCCCCTTGGATGTCATTGTGTCATAATTGATGGAAAGCCTTAAAACGAACCTTGGCAGATTTACTCTCCGACATAAACGAGAGTGACGAGGGATTATATCAAAACCTTCGGAGAAGTCCTTTTTAAATTATTTCGGCTTACGTGACTTCAGTGTAACCCGCACCCCATTTTGCGTCACAGATAGGGCACTCAAATTCATATCCTTATTTCCCTCAATAAACTGAGCCTACCTGAAAACACATTCACTGATTTTAGGACTACACTTGGGATTATATTTTTTGTGTCTTGACTGAAGATCTTGAGTTTCTCTGTGGAGCATCTATTCGAATTCTCCTGTCAGAAGCGCTTCAGTTATATGTTAATTACCTTGTCGTAAATTGTAATGTTCTCACGAACTAACTAGTTATATCTCACGAGCCCCTAGTCTTAAATGCAGCAAGTAAATCGGAGCAGTGAATAATATGGAGATTTTTGAACGTTAAGAAAACTGACAACAGAATACCACAGCAGAGCACGCTAGCAAGGCGGCTTGTACAGTTGTGTCGTTTCTCGTCACATTCAAACAAGCAATGCGGTCAAAGAAAAAGGGACTAAATTGTCAAAGATAAATTAGTCAGGTAACTCACCACAGTACCCCCCCCCCCTCCTAGACCGGAGGGCGACGGGATACGGCGTCGGAGGATATGCACAAGTCTAGAAAAATTGCGTAACTAAACGATCGGGAAAATGAACGTGACGGCCACTGCGAGTTATGTATGCAGGAGGTACAGTCGAAGAGGGTTGACTGCATGCTGTGGTGGACGATGGTGTTGCAGTTGGATGCTTTTGACATGTAGGGACAGGAAGTATGTGGGACGGAGGAGTGGAGGGCTAGGGAGGGGAAGGGCAAGGCAGTGGGCAGGGTGAATGAGCAGGGGATAGGGAAGAGGGAGGAACAGGGGTTAGGTGAGCAGCACATTTTTGTCCTTGTGACCGGTCCGGCGGCTCCTCTGCAACAGCAGCCTTGGCCCGATCGACACTGACCACCTCCTCCTTGTCACTGCGAAGGATCCGAAAGGTCTTGGTGTTGCGCGCGAGCACGCGGAACGGTCCTTCGTATGGTGATTCCAGCGGCTGGCGCACACGGTCACACCGGACGAACACATGAGTACACTTGTCCAAGTTTTTTTCGACATAAGACTCAGTCATTGGAGCTCGAGGTGGAACCGGGGAAAGCGAGCGCATAAATTGCCGCTAACGGTGCACAAGATTGTCAGGAGTCTCGTCGGCTCCACGAGAGGTTGGGGTGATCATCTCGCTTAGCAGTCGGAGGGTAGTGTCGAAAACCAATTCAGTTGCGCTACAGCCCAGATCCGACTTCAGAGCTGCGCGGATGCCGAGGAGTGCAAGAGGAAGGTTTTCCGACCAGTTTACTGGGTCTTATACGGCACGCAGGGCGGTCTTTAGCTGACGATGGAAACGTTCCACCATACCGTTGGCAGCGGGGTGGTACGCTGTCGTTCGAATGCGTGTGCAGCCAAGGAAATTGAGTAGCGTTTGGAAGAGTGCTGACTCAAACTGGGCACCACGATCAGTCGTAACTGTGGATGGGGCACCGAACATGGCGACCCAACGACTGACGAAGGCCTTCACGATGGTTTCAGCCTGAACATTCGGCAAAGGAATAGCTTCAGCCCAGCGAGTATATTGATCGACACAGGTAAGGAGGTAGGTGAAACCATTGGATGGAGGCAAGGGGCCTACGACATCCAGATGCACATGGCTGAACCGTGCGTCGGGACTGAAGAAAGTGCCTGGTGAGGACTTGTTGTGACGCTGCACCTTGTTGCGCTGGCAGCTCAGACACGACCGGGCCCAAGCTTTGACGTCCTTGTTCATGCCAGGCCAGACAAACCTTTCCGCGAGGAGCTTTTGAGAGGCTTGGATCCCGGGGTGGGAGAGTCCATGCAGAGTTTGAAATACAGCTCGACGCATCGACGTGGGCACAAAAGGGCGATGAAAGGGAGTTGAGACGTCACAAAGTATGGTACCAGAGCCGGTGGTCAGAGGAACGTCTTCGAGTTGGAGACCACTATCAGACTCGTCGCCAGGACAACCGACTCGCTGTTGCTCAGCCGCCATGGCACAAAGATCGATCGCGTGTGAGAGTTGGAGGGAAGACAGTGAGGGTCTGGACAGCATATCAGCCACCTCATTCTTCGTTCCATCAATATGGCGGATGTCGGTGGTGAATTGGGAGATGTAGTCCGGGTGGGCGATTTCCCTCGGATTGTACTTGTCGGAGTGGGAACGAAGTGCAAAAGTCAACGGTTTGTGATCATTGAAGACAGTGAAGTCACGATCTTCAAGGGAATGCCGGAAATGCTTCACAGCCAGGTAAATGGCAAGTAGTTCACGGCCAAATGTACAATAGCTTGTCTCAGCCGGTAAGAGCTTTTTGGAGAAAAAGGCAAGTGGTTGAGTCGAACCAGCAAGGTGTTGCTGAAGGACTGCACCTACGGCTACAGTCGAGGCATCTACCATCAGAGACAGCTGAGCTTCGGGAGCGGGATGCGTGAGTAAGGCGGTATCGGCAAGCGAATTCTTGATTCTCTCAAAAGCAAACAGTGCTTCACCAGTCAGCTCGAGGGGACCTTTGGGACCAGAAAGCATGTTGGTGAGCGACAGCATGAGGTCAGCACAGTTCGGTAGGAACCGACGGTAAAAATTGACCATGCCGAGAAATCGCTGTAACTGACGCTTGGAAGTTGGAGGAGGAAAATTACGAACTGCTTTAACCTTGGAGGGGAGAGAACGTAAACCTTCAGAGTCGACCTGATGGCCGAGGAACTCGAGTGAAGGCACACCCAACACGCACTTGGAGGGGTTGATGACAACACCAAACTTGTCAAGACGGTCAAACACCAAGGCAAGATGCTATTTGTGTTCTTCTTCATTCCGGCTGGCCACCAAGAGGTCATCAATGTAGGCGTACACAAAGGGTAGGCCACGTAAGACATGGTCAATGAACCTCTGGAACGTTTGGGCGGCATTACGTAGACCAAACGACATGCGGACGAACTCAAAGAGACCGAAGGGCGTGGTGACGGCGGTATTAGGGATGTCCTCAGGGGCGACTGGAATCTGATGAAAGGCACACACCAGATCAATCTTCGAGAAAACCGCTTTTGCCGAAAAGGGCTCCAGCAAAGTCCTGAAGATGAGGCACGGGGTACCGATCAGGAATGGTGGCGCTGTTGAGGGCACGATAATCGCCACAGGGTCTCCAGTCGCCTGATGTTGCCTTGAGCACCATGTGCAGTGGGGACGCCCAAGGGCTCTCGGACGGTCGAATTATTCCCAGTTGCAGCATGTGTTCAGACTCCGCCTTCGCGGTCTGAAAACGCTCCGGTGCTAGTCGTCTCGGTCGAGCAAACACGGGAGGGCCTGAGGTGTGGATATGGTGCACAACATCAAGCTGAACCTCACCACTGCGAAACTGGGGTTTAACTATGTTGGGGTGGCTAAGCAGCAGTTGCCGAAAAGGACTACCAATATCTGCATCCAGGACAGATAAGTTGATGGGGGCAGTAAATGGAGTTAGTCCACGGACAAACAGACCGGTAGTGCGGTCGAGGAGACGGGCACGTCGGCAGTCAACAAGGAGATCGAATTCGGCAGGGAAATCCGAGCCGAGGATTGCATGAGGGACATCAGCAATCACAAAGATCAAAGTAAATGACCGACGAAGGCCAATGTTCAGGGTGAGGGACAGACTGCCAAAAGTGGGAATTGAGGAACAGTTAGCAGCTTGAAGATGAAGACCAGGACTAGGGAAACGACGATCAGCTGCAGTTGGGGGAACAACACTGATTTGAGCTCCAGTGTCCACCAGAAAACGTCTGCGAGTCGCAATGTCGCAAACATATATGGTGCGACCAGAGCCGGAAGAGCCATAGAAAACGGTCGCATCTATTCTCTGGCTGACTGGTTTCCCTGTTTTGGACTAAAAGAGCAAGGTGAGGAACAGCGACGGGCCTTTACGCCGAAATTAGTGTGGTACCAGCAAGTATCAGCAGTCCGAGGTCGCGAACGAGAACGACGACGACTGCGTGAGCGACTTGAAGTTAGGCGGGCGAGCTGTATTTTAAGAGAGGCCATCTCATCCGCCATGGCCGACACCTGTTTCACTAGATTTTCATTCAGTGACGATGAAGATGAGGAGATCTTGGCAACGGAAGGTGACTGGAACCGTTGCACTTCTATCATTCGATCCGCCATCTCCGCCAGCTGTGATAGCGTAAAATCCTGAGAACCAGATGCCAGAATCGTTTGAACATCTGCGGGCAGACGCTCTAGGAACGTATCCTTGACAAATTTATCGTCAATTTGCATGTCTCCAAGGAGAGATCGCATTCGACGTAGAAGCTCTGAAGGCTTCCGGTCACCCAGTGACTCCTCCTTAATTAACTGGTGATACCTCTGTCGGTCAGACACAGAATTAAGTCGGAGGATTTCTGCCTTTAACGCGGAGTAGGGAGCATCTGCAGGAGGATCAGCTAGCAAGGACTGAACTTGAGAAATGACACTAGCGGGGAGGACCTCCACAAGTTTGTGGTATTTTGCTAGCTCCTTGGTAACGTTGGCAGAATAAAAGGCTGATTCTATGCGGATGAAGTAAAGTTCTGTAGCGTGTTGCCAGAATTCAGGCAAGGTAAAATTGATTGCATGAAGGGACTGAGCGGGGGCATCAAGTTGTTGATCGGAGTGAGACATAATAAGACAGATATGTCAAAATATCAGAATTCTTGAGGAAAGTAAATGTAAATGGAATAGATATTCAGAAGCAAATACTACGTTAAATGTTACCCAGTATGACAGAAAGGTATAAAGTCTGCGTAAACGTCGGGAGTCACCAATGTCGTAAATTGTAATGTTCTCACGAACTAACTAGTTATATCTCACGAGCCCCTAGCCTTAAATGCAGCAAGTAAATCGGAGCAGTGAATAATATAGAGATTTTTGAACGTTAAGAAAACTGGCAACAGAATACCACAGCAGAGCACGCTAGCAAGGCGGCTTGTACAGTTGTGTCGGTTCTCGTCACATTCAAACAAGCAATGCGGTCAAAGAAAAAGGGACTAAATTGTCAAAGATAAATTAGTCAGGTACCTCACCACAACCTCCGTTGCGCACAGATGATGTACTACCTGGCATGCAGCTGCAACGCCTCGCGAGCTCTATGGGGTTGTTTCAATGAAGAGACTTTTCGAGCGCGGATATAGAATGGAGATGGCGTAAATGCGTGTCGGTGAATACAGCCGATGCCCATCCCCCGCTCAATCGCCGACTCCTTCCCCGCAACATTCCATTACTCTCGCATCGCACGATCCCTCCCTCTCAACGTCGACACCTTCCCCTGGTTCCTCCCCTGCCGTTGCTCACAGCGCTGTTTATTTAACTGACATGTCAATGTCACTTCAGACAGGTCACTCCCTTGTGGTAATTCGTCCCATCTATGCAAGTAATTACTATTATCTGTATTCCCAGCTTCCCTCCCTTCCTAATATACCGTGTAGCCTACCTAGCGTATCTTCTTCTTTTGCGTATGAAAGAATGTTGTGATATGTTAACGGCTCCATTCAAATCGGTCCTAGCCAGAATTTCTTCCCAATGCTTCGCTACCTCGGCGTGTGTTATCTTTGACGTCCTCGAACACTACACACCATCTATTTCCGATAATTTTTTCGCAGCTGTGGTCGGCGAATACTTTGATCTTTTTGGCTTCGCCGATTAGCTAATAGTCTTTGGCCCCCAGTCACTGCTTTAGTAAATTTGAGCGCTGTAATTGTGTGACTTCATTTATTCTTGACCTGTCCTTTGTATTCAGGCGAGATTCATGTGACGTTTAACACCATTCAATGATGTGGTATTTAACACATCATTTAAGTTCATCTTCAAGGTAGTAAGACGAGAATTGAGTCAGCATTCTGCACCACGCATCGCTTCCGTCACGCCTTCCAATGAGCACGAAGTCAACTAGTTACGGGTAACGTGAAAGTTGCGCCGCGGTCATTACAACTTGTAAGCTAGTTATCGGCCGGTCAGTAGGGCGGCCTAAACTTCGCATGCTTAGATCTGGCCTCATTAGGGATTTACGCAAGTCTCACTGAGATTGGCAGAACCTGTCAGGAAACTGGCAGATGGGAACAAAGAGAACCAAAGAACTTGCACCAGGCGCTAGATCACCGCGTGTGTCAATCGTTTAAGGGTTGACTTAAACATCGAGCGCACGTGGAAAACAGTTTTGACAGCTAAATACAACAGATAATCAGGCGCCCCTCCACAGTGCGACACTCTCAGACCGAGATGTGGTGCTCAGCGAAGCCCAGGGGTTTACAGAAGTCTACTGAACATGGTAACGAGACGATCAGGGAAGTAACCGGGTGCACTGCCTATTAAAAAGACCGGAAATACAAATAGTGAGATCTAATCGTTAAATTGAAGAGAAGATTTCCCAGTGGACGATGACGCTGCAAGTGGGACGATCATCAAGGAGGAAAAGGCGATAGGAGAGGTTGAGGCAGGTATTGGGGTGCATAGGGCACACGTGGAGGCCCATATTCATGACCTCTGTGCGCTTGCCGCATCCTAAGGCAAAGTCGCCGCATCTTGAGAAACAGCCCAGTAGGGACCGTCTTAGGGCCATTCAAGTGTCCGGCAGGCTCAGCAACGTCGGACTGAGACATTAGGACGCTACGCCAAGTGCTTGCAAGACATGACTCAGTCATATTTGGCCTTAATTGAATCGAAAAAAATGGTCGCATACATGGGAGGGTTGTATAAAGCATCTCATTGGTGTATCAGACGGCAGCGCTGAAAGCCATTTCAGGGGAGGAATAGTCAAGTTGCGACTTGAGATCCAAATGAATGTACAACATGACCAGCGGAAGTTGGTCCCTTCCGTTCTTCCGATTTCCTACTGCATGTATGAGATTTTTCGACATGCGGTGGAACTGCTCGACAATCCCATCGGCAGTAGGCTTGTACGATGTCGTCCGGACCCAAGTATAGCCTGTCAAGTAGAGGAGAGACTAGCTGATGTGTTACTTAGAATGAGCGTAACAGCAAGTCGTAGTGGGAGAAGGAGTATCGAGGATGGTCGCCCAACGACTGAGAAGGTTCTGACTAACGTTTTAGCTTCTGCGTCTAGCAGAAGAACGTCTTCCAGCCACCGGACGAATCAGTGAGCACAACCAATAATGGGGGAGTAACCATCGGACAGAGATATGAGATCTACAGTGGCTTGGGGGACGCGACCGAATCTCACATCGGGGTTGGCAAAGTTCCGACAGAAGCCCTGTTGCGCCGTCTTATCCTACTCCACCGACATCCGAGACCACCTCGTGTCAGGTCCTTCAGCTCCTAGTGCAACCCAGACAGACGACATGAACAGAGACCAACTTTTCAGTAACTCCACAAATCCTATAGGAGTGCCAAAGTTGAAAGGCGGATGACTGGGCTGATACATCAGCCCAGTCATTTCTTGCTCTATGTACGTGGTGGGTGTCAGAGATAAGCTGGTAGCCAGTAAAAATAATAGCTGGTGTATTAAGAACCTCTGGTGAGCACTGTCATTACAAATCTAATAAAATCTCCATGAACAAATCTCGGAATGACTAAGCACACTTTTATAGTTATAAAATTGTGTCTATTTTAACGTCGGCTGATTGATTGGTTCTTCGCCAGTCGGCGGCATCAGACATTGCGATGAGTCAGTGGAAAATAAGGAAGAGCGGCGAAAAAAACTCTTTGGTAACTTTTACGAAAAACGTTGAAAAATGAATGGGACTTGTGGGTTCTAAAGGAAGCGAAGCTGGTGGTCGTAGGAGTGAAGTGAGCATATAATAAATCAGCAACCCGTTGATGAGAGCTTATGGGCGTTCGAAGCGCTCCTCGTCGGGAAAAGATACGTAAATCATAAGAGGTTACTTGTGTCGACAAATCGCTGTAGAAATGGGCTATGATAACTCTTTGCAGACTATAAAAACAACAAATATGGTGGAAGGGGAGAGGAGCTCGTCGCGATTATCAGCAGTTCGCTTAACTTAGATACGAGGCGGAGGCGTTAACGGCGGCGAAAACGATCGCTGCAGGTAATACTGTCAGCGGACTTAACAACCAATTGAAAACCTACAGAATGGTTGGAATTAAGTGAGGGTTTCCGGCTGAAAAAGCGAGACGTATAGGGTTGTAGGTCGGTGCTCATTCTGTGAGTTTTATCATCAAAAGTGACCGATAGACAAAGTGGACAAAAAATAAACCTGTCTCAGTACCCCTCTCCAATTTGCACGCATTTCATTTGCTATCTGAGACGAATTTCTCAATTAATTTCTTTGCCAGTTACATGAATTACTTGGATATTGATTTTACAAAATGAAAACTTGAAGCGACGCAAAACATTTTAAAGCACCGTTTTCTCGGAATAAATATGAACAAAGCAAAGGCGACGAAACATTTAGAATTTATTGACGTCATTAAATTTCGTGACCTCCTATTCATCTGCACGCGGTCATTGCGTATTTATAGACAAAGTAAACTATTCAATCAGGGATCGAGCTACAGAGATGAAACGCGATAGTTAAAATAAAACACTGATTATTGGTCTGGTATGCGGTTGCACATGGCGATGGGGGGAAGGGGAGAGAAGTCGTCTAGGCAAGCGATTCTGTTCACAAACGTGCCACTGGATGAAACAATTGACATAATTTGTGAGCATGCGGGTGAAACATGTCTGCCACCTGGGCAACTGAGAGAACCACTACAAATATGCACGAAGAGTGTGAAGTTTTTGTTTAACGGACAGCTGTGCCGACAGGTCGACGGTGTAGCTATGGGTAGTTCATTGGTACGAGTCCCAGCGGACAGCTTCATATCGAACCTTGAGCGAAAAGTAGCCTGGAACTTACAACGAACTTAATCTCTAGGCAGTACGGGAAGGACATTTTTGCCATAGTCAAAAACCCAAGGGACGAAAAATTACTTCTTCAGGCCATGAACAGAGCACATGCAGAGATCAAAGTTAAAATCGAACACAGGAAGGACGACACACTGCCTTTCCTAGATATTCTTGTACGTAGGCGGGCAGATGGTTCCGTTCAGAGATCTTTCCATCGAAAACCTCCCTGGAAAGGACAATACATGCACTTCCTCAGTTTCTTTCCAATTCAGAGAAAACGGAACTTGATTTTGTGCTAGATCAACGGAGCCACCAGAATCTGTTTCTCAGATACGACTGATGACGAAATCACTTTCTTAAAAAACGTTTTTCTTAGAAACAGGCATCCATAGAATTTCAATGATAAATATTGCCATCCCAGACAAGGAATTCCTGCATAAATATCCGTGCCGAAAAATCCGGTATTCATCTAACCTCCCTTTCAAGGTTGGTAATGAGTCAACCAATATCAAACGACGACATCGGTGCACGACTGAACGGACGTATGCCATCTCTAAATTGTTATTCATAAGCACTACAACGACTATTCCAGTTAGACCAACTAAAGACATTCTGCCTATGCGCGCCACATAAAACTGCATTTACGAGTTTACATGTGGTTGCGGGCGCAGATACATTGGGCGCATGCAAAGGTAGCTGGTTGCTTGGTCAGCTGAACACATGCCAAAGTAGTTGCTTAAGGCGGAAAATGAGATACCCAGGAGCTCAGATACAAAGCACCTAATAGACACGGGCCATACGGTGGACCCAATGGTTG